TTGCGCCCCATGGAGGAGCACAAGCTTCAGGGCTGTCCAGCACCTGCTCCAGCGGGCCGGCAAGACGCTGGGCGACCTTGCCTCGGCCGTGGAAGGGGTCGCCACAGACCTGGAGGATGCCTACGCGGAACTCGGAAGTGAGTGGCGTGGTATGAATAGGGACAGGTTCCTGCAGATGATGATCGCCGACGGCTCTGCTTCCTGCTGGAGTTCATGCGGAATTACATAAGAGAAAAGCAAAGGGAAGAGGTAACTTTGTCGAGAACTAGTTAGTGATGATTGTGATGATTTTTTTTTATTCCTTACTGAATGCACTTTATTTAGACAATTACTCATCATGTACATGTAGTAATGTGAATTCAATTTAGTGATTCTTAGAAGGGAGATGCTAGCGTCCGAACGCCCGTGCCTGTTTGCGTCACGCGTCTCTCCATTTCCTGCATCTCCTTCGTTTTCCATGCCCGCGTCGCGTGGACGTGTCGCCCTGCCCACGCCGCCCGTTCACACACGGGAACCGTCCGCTTTAGCTCCACTTCCCGCGTGCCTATGGGGACCGCATGCTGCACCCCGCTACGTATCGAGCATGCGGGGGACCGCTTGCACCTGCTTCGCACGGGGACCGCATGCACGGCGCCCCAGCAACTGCAACAGGCGGCAGCGACAGGTGGATCCCATTGCAATATGTGTAACACCAGATCTACTTTTATAATATTCAAATGAAACACTCGCAACATACGTCTGAAACAACTGAAACACTTGAACATGCGTCTGAAACACATGCAAAATGCCTAAAAATACTTGAAAGTCGTTGCAAGCACATTATCTAGATAAAACACCTACAACATATGCGTAAAAGATATGCAACATCCAGATATAAACCCTTGCAACATACGTCTAAGAAACAGCTGAAACATTTGGAACAGATGCTTGAAATATGCGTGTATAGGCGCCATTGTAACATATGCAACATCCCGATCTACTTTTGCAACATCCATTCAAAACACTTGCAACATACCTCTGAAACATCTGAAATAATTGAAACATACGCTTGCAACATGCGCTTTCACGCAACATCTCCTTGCAGCTTGCCGCATGGGGGGAGCGCACCTACGCGCGCGCCCTAGCTACGCCAAGCCACCATGCCGCTCCCGCCCAAGATCATCCACGAGCAGGCCAGCCATCAGCATGTGGGCGACACGAAGGACGTCTGCGTGAGGAGGGGGCGTAGGCGCATCAAGGCAGTCAGCACAGCACTGCGCCATAACAAATAGGAGGGACGTGCGGTTGCATACACTTGTGGCAAAAGGAGTTCATCTACGCCGATGGATCCTGTTGGGAGCTCCGGGCGGCGCCAATCCAACAGAGGAGGGGAAGGACGCGGGGAAGTTGGCTGGGACCGAAGACGGCGTCCTTGCCTGTGCCATTGCTACCTCCAGCTTCCTCACCCTGTACGAGGTCTGGTCGTTGTTGCCGTTGCCGTGGTGGAGGTTCACCTGCGCCGGCGACGCGGCACGCCGCGCCGCCGAGCCTGCCGCACTGGAGCCGCCCGCCGCAGTCGCCCCGCCGACCCCGACCGTGCGCTGCTGCTGGCCCGTGCCGCTGCTGCTGGCCCGTGCCGCCATCCGACGCTTGCTGCTGCTCGTGCCGCTCTTCGACCACTGCTTCCTGCCCTGTCGCCCCTGCCTCGGGGGGAACCCGGTGTTCTTCGTCACCGATGACCACGTCCTCTGCTGCAGCCTCGACCTCCTCCACTTCTTCACACACGACGCCTGCTTCCAGTCACTAGACCCATGGGCGCTGCCGTCGTCGGTGGCGCCACTATCGCAGCAGCAGCACGCCGGCGAGGCGCCGCGCTAGATCAAGTTCTGGAGCGACGCGACGTCCAACCGCCGCCGCCGTGACTTGTCCTCCTCGGAGGCGTCCACCGCGTCGTCGTGGTCCTCCGACGGTCCAGGAACCCACACTGGGTTGACAGCTACCTTGACCGGCTGGGCCACGTCTTGAGGCAGGGCGGGTGGAGGGACACGGAGGTGACAGAGATGGTCGAGGTGGCGTCCTCCCGGGGGGTGTTCGACGCCGGGTCGGGGACGGTTCTTATGGGGTCCAACCTGACCAGGTTGGGGGCGGACCCAAGTGGCTCAGGAGCACCGGATGTTCAAAACGAAATTGTCTCCCTCCTCAACCGGCTGAAACCGGCCCACGGTGTCCTGTGGCCTAATTTCAATGAACCAGAGTGTCTTTTGGCAAAATGCTCCAAAGTGGATGTCCGCCAGCAAATGACCATCACTTTGAATGTCCAACAGACAATTTCCCCTATTATTTACTATAAGCTCGGTCAAACTTGAATCAATTTGACTGAAATGAATTTCGTAATTGCATTCTTTCCTTAACTGTGGGAGTACACTCATATCGTATGTCAGTTATTTATAGGCCAGCAAAGGTTGAGCACCACTGTAGGTCAGGAGCCTCGAGTTGACAGAACACCCAGCGCTAGCTGACAAAGAAGTCCCTACACACGTGATCTTTTGCTTACGGCACGCATCAGATTCCGTCTGCCTAGGTTAAAGAGAAAGCTAGGTTCTTATGGCAGGATAATTTTCATTAAGCCAAGCTAATTAAGTAACCGCAAACTAAAAGCATCTGCAGTGATGGAGAGGATGCTTACTTGCAAAGTTTCGAGTGGATAATGTTGCCTGACCTCTGCGGCAAACAAATGGCCGCTAATGTGTGCTTTACAGATGTAGGCCGGGTCGATACTCTACACCAGGCGAGGCTTATCAAAGGAAGTGGCTAGCGCCCGCACGTCTGGACCCTAGCCCGATGCCGCGCCGCTGCTCTCCATCCCGCGTCCTGCACTTGCCAGCCCACGTGTCGCTAGCTGCGCCCGCCCGCCAGCATGGCCGCCCGCGCCTCGTCTGCTGCGCCCGCCCGCAAGCGTCCGGACCCTAGCCCGACGCCGCGCTGCTGCCCCCCATCCCGCATCCCGCGCTTGCCCGCCCACGTCTTGCCTGTTGCGCCTGCCCACAAGCACGTGGGCCCACCCACTCCTCGCCTGCTGCGCCCGCCCGCAAGCACGTGGGTCTGCCCGCTCTAGTGGGGACCGTCTCCGCCTTCCCACGCCTGACACCGAGGCGAGACAGCAGAAAAGGCAAAGAGGGAGATGCAACACTCGATCTAGTTTTGAAACATCCAGATGCAAGAATTGAAACATATGTCTGAAAACAAATGAAACATTTGAAACGTGCGTTTGAAACACTTGCAAAAACACCTGAAAAACACTTGAAACCATTGTAAACATACACAATATCCAGATAAAACACTTGTATCATATGTGTGAAAACATATGCAACATCCGATAAACACAGTTGCAACATACGTTGAAAAAAAAATAGATGAAACATTGAGAACAGTAACTTGCAACAAACGTATACCACCATTGCAACATGCATAACATCTCGATCTACTTTTGCAACATATGTATAAAACGCTTGTAACATACCTCTAAAATACTTGAAACAGACACTTGCAACATGCAGTTTTCAGTGCAAACATCTCCTTGCTGCTTAGGAGAATGGAGGCTCGTCGGCATATGAAGTTCGCCAGAGGCAGCGGCCTAGCGGTGCTTGTAGGCAACGGCTCGTCGGTGGCTGCGCGATAAGACAGGGAAGCAGCGGCCGCGAGCAGGGAGGTAGCGGCCTCGCGCCGTGTCTGGCAATGCCGGTAGCCAAGTGCCGCGACTCGCAGGCAGCCACACGCCAAAACCAGGAGAGGGCAGCCGTGCGCCGCATCTGTTAGTGCTGGCAGTCAAGCACCACATGCGGGAGCGAAGCCGAGCGCCGTGTGCGGGGGCGAAGCGGAGCGCGGCGTATGGGAGTTCATTTTGTTTTTTAGGCAAGCGACGCATGCGACAATGAATGGAGCGAGATGTCCGACCTTCGGGACGTCTTAATGGTAGCATTATCACTTATCAAAAGTAGAGTACATCTATCATGCTTGCTAAATATAATACTATAATATGTATACTTGTATATGTTGTTGCGGGACTAACTTGAGATGGAGCTTGGTCATATACTTCATGTGTGATGATCAGTGATTGACAGGTTCTTTTTAAGCTTTATTTGCTTCGTACATTACTCCATAAATGGTTTTTCTTTCTAGACATGGTTGGATCAAAACCGTCACTAGAAATGGCTCTAGAGATGGACCGACCTTGAAATTGATTGTTTAAAGGTTTCTAGAAATGCTATTTCCAGAGGCCGTTGGTGTTACAAAACACTCCTGAAAATAGAATCATGCCATTTTTAGTTTGGGCGCGTGTGTGTGTGTGTGTGTGTGTGTGGGGGGGGGGGGGGGCATCAGATAACGTATTATGTACATTTGTAATTAATAGAGCGAGTCATAATACATTTGATTATGTACACTTTTCAAAGTTTCAACTGGCATGATAGAGGTTTGATTAAATGCCCAGCATTACTGCCCATGTTTAACTCAAAATTCGAGCAGTAACACTGCATATGAATGTTTTGTACATCGCCTGCCCTAACCACCAAAGAATGGTATGTACAACTATGTGTTCATCTCCCCCCATCTTGTCTTCATAGCTTACCAGCACAATGAATTTCACAGTATGTCTCATCATGTATCCATGTTTCCATCAAAAACATTGGATCTCGAACCATGACATGCGACTTCCAACTTTGGAAAGTACCACCAGTCTTTGGCCCATGTACCTCCACAACATTCAACTCCAAGTAGTCAGCAGAACAATGGTGTGACTACCTTGCTATACAAAGAAGACTCTGCAAGTCCGAACCAGATGTTCGGAACAAGCAAATAGCCTCTTCCTCTTGCCGATGGAACCACAGGATCAACATGTAGCATGCCAGCAAAGACGGACATCAGTTCCACAAGGACCCCCTCTCTAGAGTCAGACTCCAAGCTACTGTTAGGACTGGGGATCCTCAAATCAGTAAGAGTGTAAGACTTATGATACATCCATATCATGAAGGACTGGGAATTGGAACATTCCGGTGGCTTTCTGCAAAATCTCTGATTATGCGTTTAAGAGTTCTACCACCCTTCCCTTGCATGTAACCTTGATGGCTTCTTATATTATCACCAGTCCTGCTGTAAAGATAGTCTGAGCCTGCATCCTGAAGCACCTTGAGCCACAATGGAACTATAATTTCAGCTTCCCCTTGCTTTAGATACTCGGAAGGCAAAGATTTCACCTAATCAAACATGTCAGCCAACATTAGGCAATAGCTGTGAACGTATTGAGCACATGACTAAACACACTCTCTGCATCAATGGATTCAGATCTGGCATCAGATTGTCATGTAACCAAATGAAGGAAAAATAGTTCAACATGTTTTGATCCAACATCCATGTTTCAAGTTAAATAAGAGAATAACAAAATCAATTATGCCAGATAGTTACCAAGAATGTGATCCTCAAAGCAGTGCTAATCCAATCATACATGTGTGAAATTTAAATGGCGGAATTAGACTAACTCATGTCAATAGTTGCAAACTCAAGTTAGAGAATTTTTTATCAAAAGAAGAAAAAAAAGATACAGAAAGAGCATATCGGCTGGGACTGGAACAATCACAGTGAAAGCTGTCGTGAAAAGAATACCGTCGATTGTAGCCACCCACAAAGAGAATTCCAACTAAGAACAGCCTTCCATGCCGTTCCCTCACAGAAACTGCACAATGCCGCCAGTTGTTGCAATATTGTGGCAGATTTATGGACCTGTTTAGAGAAAGAATGTGAAAACTCCGCAACATTTTTTGACCGAGCAGAACAAATAAATCAATAGAAGCACTTTGTGTAACAGCAGAAATAGTATCATCACCAGTAATGCTAAGAACTTAAACAGTCGACTCATCCAAGCATAATCATTAATATAGTAGCTTATGCCAGATGAAAAGTTTGAAAACCCAGATAAGGTTCAGAGCTAATTAAGGTTTACATGCACAAGTACAATGTTCTGGCTAGTTTAGATGTCTCACATAACAAATTGTAGAGTATCCAAAAATATATACATACGCAAACAAATAGAGGCAAATACAACAAAATTATTCTTCAAATTGCACCCACCCTTGACAAGGCTGATACACCAAGTAGAGCATAAAGCACATTAGATAATAGACCTTCACCACAGCGTGCCAAGATTTGGATTAGGGCCACACCAGGTGACCCGTTAGGGATGCACTCAGGAGATTCTAGCACAGCAGCAAGGACAGCCTCAAGAAAACCTGCAGGTGGAATATAACTTTGGAATTATTTAGTTGGAAATGATTGAGTACAACCACAGGGATTTAAGTGCAATAGATTGATCTGATGCATGACAGTGCCAGGTTATAACAAACAAGGTGTCCATATGCCAGCTGTCTCCAATTTGAAGTATAAATGATCAGAGTGCAGAGATTTTAAACACACTCCAAAAACAATGAAACATGAACCAGAAAATTCCTATGCTATACCAACTTGAAAGACCTTTAATAATCATGTTAAACAGTCATAGTTCTAAAGAGAAATCGCCAAGCCTAATAAAGTGATGCCAAGGTTTTACCATACCAACTCTCTTCGTTAGCTGAAAATACATCCATGCATTTGCAGTAAAAATAAACTCCCTTCTATATTGCTTTCATTTCTTAATGATGTTTTAATGGAAACTAAGGAAATTATTCTCTTTCAAATGGTGTTACAGTGTTATACAATGTCGAGAAGGAACAAAACTAAATCTTCCTAAACTGCACCTATGTTAACTAGTTGATACATTGTGAAAGACAAGAAGGCTCAATCTGTTGGCTCACTAAAGATGGCCAGCTTCAAAGACAAATGAATTTAATCACATAGCAAGAGACAAAAGTAATAGAGGTATGTAATTATATTATCTCTCTCTATTAAACATGAACAAGTAAAGAATGCCATTCAGAAGAACAGTGCAAGTATTTTGTTATGTATCATCCAGCTTACCAAGGAAAGAAAAATCTCATAGATGTAAAGCAAAGCAGGCCAATAGTAAACTTTATGAGCTAACATTTTGCTGACATGAGTTTTCACTCCAAATCCATCTATTCAGGATGTACAAAGAAGTTTACCCATCACAGAATGAGGGGAACACAAAAACATGCAATTAAAGCCAGAGGACAATACATAAAAGTGAATAAAATAGCACTCACACGACATATATGACATTGCTGCAAGTGCAGCTCCTCGGTGCATTGCTGTAGAGCATATAGCTGCCTTTTGAAATGATAACTCAAGCAGGGAGCTAGATGCCACAATAGCTTCCTGATTATTTATGCAATCAACAAAGAGATGTAGTGTTAAAATGGCATTACATATCATGCCAAGCTACTGAGCTAAAACATATTACTAATATCGAAACAAGAGAAAAATAAGAACCTTTGGACAGCAGCGAATAAACATAGATGTAAAGTAGGTATATGCTTCAACTAGGTCAGGTTCTTGATCACAGGTATAAGAAGAATTCAGAGCTGATATTGAAGATGCAGAGCTAAGTGTTTCAAAAGTCCTAACACATAAAGCCCCATATTCTTCTTTGTGGCCAAACTCCTCAATAACATTGGCAGCTGAAATTTGAATGAGGTCAAGTAGAGTCAACAAATTTATTGAAATAAGATGCCATGCTAGTAATTTAGTGATAATTATTAGCATAACATATAGAAATCTTCCATGGATATGTATAGTTATGATTCTATGTGCTAGTTCAGAAAACAATGACTAGTAGCATGGCATGGTAGTTCAAAAGCATATCAAAAGTACATAGCTGAATAAAAGGCACTAAGGCAGGTAAGTATCCCCAGAGGCTCTAACTGAAACATATGGATCGAGTTGAATACAACATAAACTCATACATATTTGCTTTAGTTTAAGAGAGCAACAATAGCCAAACTCTTACTTACATTATGATCAATTATTAACCCTGGTTATGACGAGGTGCAGAGAAGAATCTTTTTTTAATTGAATTTTGGAAGCAAAAAAAAATTAGTTGTGCATAAAAGTATAAGGTCCTTGCCTGTCCTCAAGAAGCAGTCATGCCTTTGAAACAGCAAGAAATTTGCAGATAAGCACTCCATAACTTTAGGTAATAAAATATGAAAGTGGTGTCCTGTAAAATACAAATGCATATAAGAAAATTGATTTATATGCTATGCAACTTGAATTTTCTAATTTTAAAATCCATTGAACTTACCGCAAGAATGTATAACAGAAGAAAGAAACGACATACAGCTGCAGATAAATTGACATTCTCCATATGATATGATCGGAAAAGCTTTTCAAGAAGTGGCCAAAGTATTCCAATAAGAACTATAATTATATCATCGTCAACCAGACCAGATGTGACTGATGTAGCCAAATGATGAAACAAAGCACTCATCCTGTAGAAGGGTATAAATCGCTTATATTATAATATCAAACTTCCAGCTTCTTAACGAATAATTGAATAGCCAAAAAGTAAAAACAGGCCAGTGATATGCTGCCTTGTGCAAAAAGAAGGAACAGACTAGTTGTAAGATTCTGACATGTCAACAAGCCATGGAAGTCCAATCGATTGCTCAACATCACCCAGTACTGGTGCAGCATTACTTGAAGGAAAAGGAACATCAAACTAGAGCATGAAACAATACAAAAACTATACCTGTAAAGACCACGGACAGCAAGATCCAACGATTGTGTATAAGCAGCTGGATTTTGCCTTATCGATTGATCTCTGTCTATGTCAATCTGGAAAATGGAAAGTCCAAAATTTGATGATGACACATTCATTAACAGTTCACATGTGGATTTTGTAAGAAAGGCTACACTACGGAAAGAGAACATACAATCTTTTCCACTGCTGAGTAACTGGAACAAAGTAACCTGGCCAGTGAACTTTTCTTCAACTCTTTTTCACTAACAGAACTTAAAGCATGTGTGATTGCACTAATTATCTCTTCCTCATCCTCTAGCTGCAGGTTCCCTTTATTCATGCCCTGTAAGAACACTATATTTTAAATATTACATTACATACAATGCCCAAACAAGAAAGATTTATCAAGTTATACCTTTAAAGCGTGTATAAATGGGATTTAATTAACTTATGGCATGCAATGCTAAAACATTAAGTGAGTATATATGAGTTTATGACAACAGTAGCCAAAGAAGAAACTAATGCAAATAGTTTGTCCGATTAGCAAGCATATGAAAACTGAAACGAACTTTCTTTCTAGATGAACAAGCTTCATGATATTTATTTAGTTGTGATGATACCATGGTCATTCATGTAAGCAATGTCGTATCCACTGCATAAACTAAAACCTAAAGACCCACAAAAGCTTCTGTTGACAATCAAAGTAACAAATGCTCCAAGCATCAGCTTGTTGAATATAGAAGGGCTATCCCTATGATCACCTCTTAGAGAATAAGAGGAAGGAGACATGCTAGTAAAATCAATGAAAATATTTTCAGCAACCTTCTCAGTACTAAGTTGATATGTCAGAAGTATAATCTGATATGGGTATAGCCGTATTCAATATATTGTATCTTTACTTATGAACAGTATCATTTAGAATATCGTGGTAGAATTAATTTGGCAAAGTAGAAGGCATAATGTTACCTCACTAATCCAGAAAAGAATTTCAAGGTTCTGAGGTTCATGGATGAATGAAGGAGCATCCTCACAAAGTTTGCGCAAGGCTAAGGAGCAAGCATTTGATGATATAGATTTTGAAATTCCTGACGCACAAAATAGGCTGTACATAATGATAAAAAAGAAATTTAACAGTCATAGTGAATACATAGAATCCTTAAACTTCACAAACATTCAAAATACTTACAGTAAGGGCTTAATGTTACTTTGAGAAGACGATAGCCACTTTGAGTACGAACCAATGACATCACCAAACGATTTATATACCTTGACATAACAGAAAAAGAAATCAGCATTAACTTCATAAACTACGATAAAGAAACGAAATCTGAGTGTATATATAATAAAAAAATGAAAACATATGGAAGAAGTCACACCAAAAACAAACTTCCATTCAGTTCAGGTGTTCTGCTGGACAAAATGTTCACAAAATGCATTATGATTGAAAAATCGAAGGAGCTTTCATCTTGTAAAATCGTGTCAGCAACCTGAAATTCAACAATGCATCAGCATATACATGAAACACACTCTTCCTAGCATGGTTGTATCCAAACATACAGTGATATGCACATGTCTAAGCAACTAAAAATGAAAAAAGAATATATAACTTGCAGAATATAACTATAACGAAATAGTAGTGTGCAAAACTCACATGATGTCATTCCCTATGCAATCAAAAGATAGGGAATCGTCTCTTGATTGGTTCCAAAAGCAATTATAGGTGTGATTTTATCAATATTCAAAACTTATGGCCCATTTAAATCAATTTGATGTGCCCCCATTGAACCCTCTGAATGCAACAAGCTGTTCCCATAGAAGTTTGAAGTGCAGCTTGGCCCGGCCAGTTTGGCAGAGCTCTCAAAGCAGCTTCCAGCCAGTATATTGCACAGAAATGATTCTACATTGATTCTAAGAAGTGATTCTCTAGGAACTGAGAAAAGTAGTTTCTCCTGATTCACTTCCTGAATAGAATCACTTCTTACATAGGATTTATCCTAGAGTCATAGACAATCACTTTCAGCCACAGAATCACTTCTCTCGAAGAATCACTTCCCACAAATCAGGAGCAGGAGGTGCTCTACCAAACAGGCCCTAAGTGATATAGGTTTCTTTTAGAGATAGACATAATATCATACAGGTTTCTTTTAGATATGGACATAATTCGAAGGATGTAAAGATCTGGGAGGATGTAGTCATAGAATATAGTGAAAAAGCAAGTAAACAGCAATAAAATTAATATAGTCCATGAGGATCAAGTTATTTACATCTTATGACAACAATTTGAAACTTTTACCAAGTGGTACGATACACTTACCATGCTGAGTGCATACATTCTAACTTCTACCTCTTTCCAAGGAATTGTTTGGCTTGAGAAGTCCCATCCACCAGAAAAGAGCTGCATATAAATTAAAATACAGGTAGAACACATAGTTTTAGGTAGAATAACCTTATTAAAAATACAGGAGAAAAATGTCAAAACTATCTGTCGAAAGGAAAGCTTTAAAATGATATCAATTATCACTTATCAAAGATAAGCAGCTCTCCAGCATGTTCAATAAAAATAAATCTCAATTATCAACAACAGAGGTCTTCATGCCCATGAGGCCACGACACAGAACAAATCAAACATAAATTAAATACATAATTGACATGAAGATGTCAGTTTCTTGCAGAGAACCACAAGAAGATTCGGAACAATTAATCTTTAGCAACTGAGTCTCTCTTCATTCTTGACCATATAAATTATGCATCTTTTCCTTATTAGCTTACGTCTGCTAGGTCACTTGTTCCTAAAATCTATCATGGAAAGGACTGGCCACTTTTCGTAAACAATGGACATTTCTTGGATCCATAAACAAATTGTACTTAGTGTTCCTACACCATACTAACGCAAATAAGAGTTCTAAGTAACAGAAGGTTAAGAAGCATGTTTGAACATTTGTTAAACCATAAACATGTAATAATTGTGTGCATAGGGATGGATCATAAGCAACCATTCAGCAAACAATACGTACCTTGTTTATATATGCAGGGGCACCTAGAAGCAAACAAATATCGACGAGGAGCTCCTCCAAATTCATCCTGAACTGTGTTAGTCCCTCAGGTATACAAGGTGCTCCATCAGAATCAGTGTCGATCTATGAATGGGCAGAATGTCAAGGCATAAGAAGGCAAGTTTACAAAACCTCTGTTCTACAATTAGATATACCAAAAAATGGATAATGTACAGTTGCTAGTTTTTTCCCTTTTTTGATAAACAATTGCTAGTTTAGTTAAAAGGAAATACAATACATGAAGTATGATTACAAACCAAAGGCTGAATTCGTAAGATAATCAGCTTCAGTTGATTACTTGATTATGACAAATAAGATAAATATGCAACTTTATAGAGAGCAGATTAATATAAAACAATACTAGTATTAGGTTTAATCATATATACAGGAGAGTCAAGCCATTTGGAAGAGAATAGCCTTATAGCCATACACATATAATGATCGTACATAAAGGTAGAACAGACAAACCTGAGCACGAAATAAAAGAGCATCCAGCAGTGAAGAAAACACAGGCACAAACAACTCTTGTACCACATTTCTTTTGGCTGTCTTCACATCAATACCAAGAATAAAATGTGCCAAACTGCACCTGCAGAGTTTCAACATAGAAAGTAATTAATTATATCCCAAACAAGCACATTAATACCATGAGAACTAAACTTCACTTCAGGAGAATAGAAATATGGGAAATGTTCCAATTTACAAACTTAAATATTGTAGCATGGGTGACTTAGTAATTATTATACAGGTGCTAACCACAATGGAACTGCATTGAGTGAAATATCACAATATGAGTCGTTTAACAGGTGAACACAGCTGGAAGTCTAGAAGTAGGGTGTGTTCTAACTTCATAGGTCAGACACAGCTATTTTATTAATGTGGACCATTAAAAACTAGTAAAAAATACACCTTCCAAGCAAGTTTGTCATGATACACCAGTTGAAGACCAATTCCTTGTGCCACACATAGGCCTACTGGATTCCTACAATCATGTCGGAGATGCTAACCAGTCACCAACCCACCCCATCCTAAATTAGTGCACACAGACAAAACACTGATGACACCTCAATACAAACCAAGAAAAGGAGCGCGCGATTTGCTCCCAAAGTACATTGACTAATTGTTACGTGATATTGTGAAGGAGCTTTTCATACATGAAAAGGTGAAAGTTAAGCATCATTACCAAAATTGAAAGGTTGACTCTGCAATTTCCCAATCTTCACTGGTAAAATCTACACATCTGCAGTTGAGGTAGAGCACTTCACATAATGTGGTAAAAATAAACTGCGCTATAAAATTATTTGGAAACCTTGAAAGTTAACATTAAAACTCAAGGAAAAGTACCACATAAACAATGCAATAAATTGACCTCAAAAGTCCATCGGTGAGAGCAAGTGCTTGGCTACCCCCTTCTGCAACCAAAGCAGGTGCCTAAGAAAGTTGAACAGCTATCAGGTCATGTTCAACAGATTCGAACATATGAGAAAAGAAAAGCAATTTTTGAAAATGTGTTCAAGGGTAATACGCTATTTCATATTAGAACTCCTCTCAAGACTTTCTGCCCTTCTGCTGATTGTAGAACCATTTTACGTTAACAAAGCACAGCTCATTGCATTGGTGTGTTCTACATAGTCATCTTCTCAACTATCTCGAAACAGTCAATTCTTAGTTATCACATTTCAATTAACTCAACTGTATGAAAAGTCAAAAGCTCATTCCAACAAGCTATTAATATGTTTTCTGATTTTGCTCATAAAATTGACATGTATGGTAACTAGACTGAAAGAAAAGTATATATAGTGAAAAAAAAAAACTTACCGCCTGGCCAACTTCACACATCAAACAGGCAAGACCAGCAATGATCTTCTCACTTCGGTTGGCTAAAGCTGGTAGAAGAAGAACTTCCCTTATATAAGGTGTCTTACTCAGAAAGGCCTCAGGTAATTCCTGCCAACAGACAGCAGCACACATCAAGCCACTTCCAGTGAATTACAAGTTAAAATTGGTTCAGTTGTTACAACAACAAAGCCTTTAAGTCCCAAACGGTTTAGTTGTTAGGATGCCCAAAATTTTAGGGGGGGGGTGTTGGAAATAGAAGTCATTGAGAGAATGCAGTGGCTTTGGTAAACAAAATGCCCCTTAAGCTGAAAGTGTTCTTGTGGTTAGCCTTATGAGAAATTGCAAATGGGGTTCGCTCTGAAAAAGAAGGAACGGAAAGAAAACAAAAACCGCATCTTCTGTGGGTCCCTGAAGCAGTCAACCATGTGTTTTTCCAATGTTTTTTAAGCCTTTATAGCTTTAAGTGGTGCTGTTTTAAAGAAACACTAGAGAGGGATAGAATCACAGTTAGCACAAGGGATTTGCATGATTCCATCGCTAACTCTAGGGGCAGAGAACTATGGTCATAAACTACTCTTTGCTATTGTTGTGTGGTCGATTTGGAGTTTGGACTACCAGAAACCAAATGAATATTGAACATGTCTTTCCAAAATTGTGAGCTGAAGTCCTTTACAGAATTTGGATTTTTGTGCACACATGGCAGTGTTCCAAAATGCTTTATTAATCGTACACCTAGGCACACTTAAGCATGAATCGAAGCCTCAGCGCGGCATTTAGGCCCTGGGCGCTGAATTAAACGTTTGGCAAGGGTAGGTGGCCTGGAGTGAGGAGTGCGGGCAGACAGACGAAGGCAAGAGGGAATGCATGGGTGGGAGTGCAGAGAAAGGAGTGCGCGGAGGTCAGGAGCACAGGCGGGAGCACGAAACCAGGGCCTGGCGGCTAGGATTACCTGAAGGAATTCGTTGCCCCGTGCGGCGGCAGAGAAGGGGAACCGAGCTCGAGCTCCTCAGTCCTCATCATGTGATCCTCGCCACCCCTCGTGCCTCCTTGCATCGCTGCCAGCACAGTCCCACCCAGCCACCCAACGGGCGTGGAGGAAGGATGGCGATGAGATTAGGAGAGACCAAGAGAGATGACCGGCGGCGGCTGCTTTGTTGTATAGTACAGTGCTAGGAATAGGGCATCATGAGGTGCATATAAGTTGGATGGGCCAGAAATGGCAGCCCATATCGTGCAGTTCGTGAGGGGAGGCAAATGGGCCTTTTGAATGTATAATGGGCTCATCATAATTGCATGTGAATGGCTCAAGTATTCTTTTGTTATTAACTTATTATTATGCTGATGAATAATGTATAATGTTTTAAGTGTGTTCAACGCTTAAGCATTTTGTGCGCTAGGCGGTGCCTTAATGCCTGCCTAGCGCCTAGCGTCTCTTGCAACCTTGAAAAATGGTGTGAGCTACTGAAGGAGGATGATCGCCGATGTCTGGAAACCTACTCAAGCCCAGTTAAGTCGTTCATGGAGGAAGAATACACAAGTTGTGACAGGAGGATCTTCTTTGAGGCAAGCAGCAGCTGTAATGCTAGGCTTTCTCTTAGATTTAGCCGGCTTTGTTCTTTAATCTTTTGTTAGGATTGTTTGAGCTCTTGAATGAGATGGATCCCCAGCAGACCTAGATGTAACAAACTTATATGCTTTCTATAAAAGCAGGGAATCCTTTTCGGGAATAAAAACAATAATTGCACACTCAACAAGATGACTCCTGAACTGTGGGGACTCAATACAAAGTCAAATAAGAAAAAAATGCCTGCTTCATATCATAGCACTGGAGTTCATCCCACCAACCATATATAAGAAGAAAAATTGCATTGCCAATGCATGTGAAAGAAATAGAACTTCAATAAATTGGCATATCCAAGATCAGAGCTTGTGTACAGGAAATTTCTCAGTGTGTGAAAAAGAAATGAAATAAAAATATGTATGCAGATGAAAATTGGGGGGAAAACCACTCAAAAGGTTGCACATGTTTGTTCTTGATGTGACTAGTGAGGATGGATTTTTGTGCTTGATGCCTAGAACATAAGATAAACAAGACACTGAGGATTGGGTAGTGCTGAAGGAAATTATGACTGCCTAGGTTTGACCAAGAAAATGATGAATGAGCTCCGTACTTTGGTTCTCACTGCAGTTTCCATAGTGTGTCAGTAAATGTTTTATGTGCATTTGAGCTAGACCAGTTTGTTTATACTCCTAAATCAATTTAGTAACCTGAACCTGTGACTGATTTGGTATGAGTTAAAGATATTTGAAACAGGGTATGCCCATCTGCTTCTAGAAAGATGATACAGAACAGGACCATCACTGCAACTGTTCCTGGTATTAATCATCACATCATGTAGATATATAAGGCAAATAAACCTAACTATCTAGCTGTTCTCTGAACATTGCAAAATGTAGGTTAAAAGTAGTGACTATGAATTAGTCAAATTAATTGATTCAAGGGTTAAAAGTTAAATCCATGGTTAGCTACCAAAATACAATTCAAGTAGTAATTAATAGTCGTCTGTGTTACCATCTGTATATCCTGTGGTGGACTTCGATGGGTCTTGGTCGCTGGTTGGCTGAACCCTTTGTGTTCAGTTCAATTAGGCAGTTCTTTAGTTCGGAGGTGTTTGCGCATTGGATTGACAAACTTCTGTAATTTCGTTGCTTTTAAGTAATGAAATTCAGTTCGTCCGTGGTGGAAAAAAAAAGTAATTAGTAGTAAATACCACAATCAAACAGTAGACGTCACTAGACAAGTTAACTGGACCAATGTAGGCTAGCAGTAAGGAACAAACTGGACCAATGCAGGCTTGCAGTAAGGAACAAAGTAGCACGGCTCAGAAGAACATAACTTAGGCCTTGTTTAGTTGGCGAAATTTTTTGAAAATGGTACTGTAGCACTTTCGTTGTTATTTGGCAATTAGTATCCAATCATAGTCTAATTAGGCTTAAAAGATTCGTCTCGTGAATTTCGTCTAAACTGTGTAATTAGTTTTATTTTTTATTTATATTTAATGCTTCATGCATGCGTCCAAAGATTCGATGTGACAGGGAATCTTAAAAAATTTTGCAAAATTTTGAGAACTAAACAGGCACTTACTCGGTGCTGGCTGACAAGCTCAGTCATAACCTCTATGGCCACCTCAAACGAGAAGGACACCTTCATCAGCCACACAGCAACAAGACAACGTGTGAGCACGTGAGTGCACAACTAATTCCTCGAAGTACACTTTTCAGCCCTTATAAGGAACCGGAGGCTGCAAGTTCGCACCTGCAGCGAGTTGAACGCAAAAGTGAGAAGTGGGTGCGTGGCAAGCGCGGCTGCCGGCGTCTCCGAGAAGCACCCCACGCGGACCTACGGCATTGTCGTATTTGTCAGCGAGCAAGCTAGAGAAGGAAGCAGCCGAGCGCGGAGCGAAGTGAAGTGCAGGGCGCGTACTTACTTACCCAGCTCAGTAGGCACCGAAGGATTCTGCGGTTGCGCTCGTGGAGGGGAACCCCGTCGTCATCGGTGGGTGCCTTCTCGGATTGCCCGTGGAGGAACTCGAGCACGGCGGGCGCGTGCGCGAGCAGCTCGCGCGTGAACCGGCACCGCGCGGCGGCGTCGACCCCCGTGTCGCCGCCCTGGTCCTGCGCAGCCTCCTCGGGGAGCACGGTGAGCAGCTCCAGCACGGCGGGGGGCGGCAGGTGCGGCATCCGCGCGAAGAGGCCGTCGACGCCGCCCTCGGCGCGGAGCGCGAGCGCGGCGAGCGCCAGGCAGATCTGCGTGAGCAGCTGGCGCGGGGCCGGGGCGGCGCAGAACCGCCGCGCGGCCAGGAGCAGCGCGTCGAGGAGCTGCGGCGCCAGGCCGAGCCCGGGGAGCGCGGGGCTGGGGGACTGGATCTTCCGGCGGAGCATCTGCGTGGCGAAGAAGAGGAGGTCGGCGGGCGGGGGCGGGTCCGGGGCGGCCAGGAGGGAGGTAGCGACCGCCCACGCCTGCGGAGACCGCTGCAGCGCGAGGAGCCACTGGTTGGCGGCGAGGCGCGCCGAGGGGCTCGCGTCGTGGTTGAGCGCGTACACGGCCGCGGCCAGCCGCGCCTGCAGCTCCGACGCCTCCGCGGCGTCCATCGCGGCGACGGCGGCGGGACGGTTGGCGGGTGGATTCGGGTGCGGCCGGGAGGGAGGCAGGGGACGGAGGGGATTGGGCCGAGTGGCACGCAGTCGCGCACGGACGAGTGGGGGAAAGCGGGATTTTTTTTTTATTTCTTTTTCTATCGAGAATCTGCCGCACAGCAGCAGCCAGCAGGCTACAGCATTTAATGAGCACTGAGAAATGGCCCTTTCGGCTCAGTTTTGGATCTAGCTGCTCCTTCGATTCGGGGTTTGCAGATTTGAAATTGAAATTTGAGTTTGAGCAGAATCACTGTTGGACATTAATTAGTATATACTTCTATTATTCGGCCCGTTCGTTGGTTGGTTTCTGGGCCGATAAGTCCGGCTGATGCTGGTTTATTGTGAGAGAAAAACATCGTTGGTTGGTGATAAGCCCTGGCTGAAACTAAGCAGTGAACATGATGATTATTAGGTTATTTAGTGTCATTACAAATTTCTTAGATAGGAAAAATGTCATTGATATTCACACCTATTCCAAAGCAGTTTTTTTCTTTATAATTCTCCCACCGTTTTAAATATGTCACGCTATATGCCTCTTTAAAATATGTCACGCTACATCAGGGGAGGCCTTAGACCTAGTTGCAAGCATACATGGCATACGAGTATCGTCCTAGTATCCCCCACCACTCTCTCATCTCGTTTTCTCTGGCTCTTGTCTTGGTAAACACTAACCCTAAGGTACGACGACTCGGATGGCGACAACCCAAATGGAGGCGGCGACTAACAGCGAAACCTGCGAGGCAATGAAGTCCGCTTGAGGGAATGATTGACCCCTACCCCCATGGGCCAATGGAAGCCCACGTCTCATCTTTTGCAAAGAAGTCCCCAGGATCCTCCCAATCCTCATTTCCTCGTCCTTCTCTTCTCCCCGCTTCGTTCTCGCCAAGGCGGAAGAAGGGGCGACGTAGAGGGCGATAGGCACCATTCGCCGGCGAATGGTGACGTCGGAAGAAGGTACCTGCGCGGAGGACTAGGGGTTCGACGGCTGCGCCACCGTCAGCCCTTGGAGTCAGCCACCATAGGACATGGCACCCAGCCTATGGAGCAAAGGACAGGAGGCGCCTTCATATGGTAAGTGTCGTCTTCGATTTATCTTCGATTTGGCTTCGATTTGTTCACCATGTAGTGTAGGGAAGTGGGTTTTGTCTTCGATTTGTTCACCATGCGCCTTAAGTAGTTGGGTTGTGCTAGAGTTTGGAGTTTTGCGTTGAAATTTGCTTGCTCCCCAAAATCAATGCGATGTTCGGTTGATTTTTCCATCAATAATGTGTGAAGATTGCGGTTGATTGCACTAAAGACGAATTCTTGTTCTTTAATGTAGGAGATGGTTTGGATTTATTTAGTTTGGAGGTGCATCACGATGTTTTTTCGTTGGGAGTGGGCAACAGAGAATGTACATCAATGAAAAGTTAGATTAGTTTGATGACTGCGACGCAGATACCTGGTCACCTCTATGGATTGATGACTGCCTAGGTCAGTTAGGTTATGAGATAAGTGTTTCCTCACAGAAGGTCCATTGGCTGCTGCCTGGCAAAGAAGTTGCAGATGGTCTTAGAGTTGTTTCTACTGACAGTGACACCAATATCATGGTTTCTGTGATTGATAGGGTCAAGAACTTGGTTATTTATGTTGATCATGATGGCCTCTTGAATGGTGTTAACTGGGATGACATAGTGATGAACCCTAAGGTAGAGCTACCTAAGGTAGGAGTGGCTAACACATCAAGAGAGAAATTGCCTGTCTTCTACAATAATTTACAAAATAGGAGTGAGACTAATGTGGAAGTAGAAGATGTCACTGAGGGCAGTGATGCAGAAGATGCAGACTTTGTTGATAGTGATTATGAGGTGGCTGAGAGTGATGATGACTTGTTTGTTGACAATGTTGATGTGGATGTATTGGATGAAGGAGCTAGTAGGGGCATAAGAATGTTCAAGTGGAAGAAAGCAACAGGCAGCAGGCTGAAAGGATAAAAGTACTAGCATGAAGACCTATCTGATGATGAAGAGCTATTAACAGATGATGAAGGGATTAAGTTGCCAGTTTCAGATGGTGAAGAGCCAAAATAGTAAGAGGTTTAAGCCCTTTAGGGAAGAGGATTTGGGCAATCCTTCATTTAGGTTAGGCCAGACATTTGCATCAGTTGAGCTTCTAAGGAAGGCAATTACCGAGTATAGTCTTAAAAACAGGGTTGATATAAAGATGCCAAGGAATGACCAGAGAAGAGTGAAGGCTCACTGTACAAAGGGTTGCCCATGGAACTTATATGCATCTTTTGACAATAGAGTGAAGTGTTTCCTTGTGAAAACTTATGTTGGGCAATACAATTGTCAGAGGGAGTGGAATATCAAGAGATGAACATCAACTTGGCTGGCAAGCAAGTACACAGAGATCTTCCGAGCAGATACCAAGATGTCACTTAGCAGTTTTGCAAAACTAGTGCAAAAGGATTAGAACATTACTCCATGTAGAAACAAACTGTCTAGGGCCAGAAGGATTACACTGAATGCCATTTATGGTGATGAGTTGAAGCAATACAACCAGCTATGGGACTATGGACAGGAACTTAGAAGGTTAAATCCTGGGAGTACTTTTTACTTGAATATGGATGAAGGATCATTTAGCAGGTTGTACATGTCACTGGATGCTTGTAAGAGAGGTTTCCTCTTGGGTTGCAGGCAACTAATCTGTCTAGATGGTTGCCATATCAAGACAAAGTCTGGGGGCAGCTTTTAACTACAGTAGGCATAAATCCAAATGACTACATTTTTCCTATAGCAATGGCAGTTGTTGAGGTGGAATCAATGAAGACATGGACATGGTTCTTACAATCTCTGAAGCAAGACCTAAAATAGTCAACACTTACCCATGGACTATTATGACAGATAAGCAAAAGGTATAAATCCTGCTAACTTTGCTAACATGTACAAATGGTTTTTAGTTGCTGACAACAACTTGTTAACTTATTTCATGCATGCAGGGACTTATACCAGCTGTGCAAGGAATTTCCAGATGCTGAGCATAGATTTTGTGTCAGGCATTTGTACCAAAACTTCCAGATGCATTTCAAAGGTGAGAACCTTAAAAATCAGTTATGGGCTTGTGCTAGATCTAGTTGTGAAAGTCAGTTTGCTAGAAACATGAGTCTGCTCAAGGATTTAGATGAGAAAGCATTTCAATGGTTGGACAAAATGGCACCAAATACATGGTGTAGGGCTTATTTTAGCACATTCCCCAAGTGTGATGTACTGCTCAACAATAGCTGTGAGGTCTTCAACAGATACATATTAGATGCTAGGGAACTCCTAATACTTAGCATGTTGCAGACAATCAAAGGCCAATTGATGACCAGACACTATAACAAACAAAAAGAGATGGACAACTTTGTTGGAACCATCTGTCCCAAAATAAGGAAGAAGGTAGCCAAAAATGTTGAGTTTGCAAACATTTGCTACGCATTGCCTGCTGGGAAAGGTGTCTTCCAAGTACAGTCAAGGGACCGTCAATACATTGTCGACATTTGCAGCAAGGAATGTGAGTGCAGGAGATGGCAACTTATTGGAATTCCTTGCTCCAATGGAATTGCCTATTTAAGGCATGAAAGGATCCCCCTAAATCTGTTATTGCCAGTTGCTACATAGTTGAATCATTTGCCAGTGCATATGGAAGTAACATTTGGCCATGCAGAGATACATCTAAGTGGGAGAAAGTAAATGGACCAGAAGTTGGTTGTCCTAATTATGAGAAGAAGGTTGGTCGGCCCCCAAAGGCAAGGAAGAAGGCACCTCATGAAGTACAAGGGAGAAATGGACCTAAGCTATCAAGACATGGAGTGGTCATGCATTGCAGTTGGTGCAACTCCACTGAGCACAATGCTAGGACCCGTGAATTGAAAAAAGCCGTCATCAAGCCTACACCAGGCAATAACAGTCCACCACCACCATATGTCATTGAAGTCTTAGATCAGGCAGATGTAGAGGTGGAGCCCGAGCTCACTACACCACAAGTGAATGAAGCTGAAGACCTTGGACCTGAAGAAATTACACAAGAAACTATGCTCTCTTAATTCCTTTCACAGGTTTTTCTCTTTTGTGTACCTTCATATATTTGCTCTATTTGTATGAGTACTGAATTGATTGTGCTATGACAGCCATCTCAAGCATCCAGCATGAACCTGTAGCTCCATCCTTTGCCTACTTCTTCCTTCATTGACTCCAACCAACCTGCTGCAAGGCCAAGTACAATGACTACAACAACAAAGAAAGGCAAGGAAGTCATGGCTAGGAAAGGAAGAGCAGTTCGAGAAGATCAAGGATGGTCAAGTGAAAGGCGGGAAGGGTGTTGCCAAATGCCAAGACCAAGAAAATTGGTGGTGGCGGCCACATGGACTCGAAAGCATGGTGCAAACTTGACCTAGAGGCATCAAGCAATTCTTTTTGTGAATGATATAGCCGTAGCCATCTTTTGTGAATGACACAGGTTATCTTTTTGTGTAAAGTTAACATCAAGGAAACTATAAACTTGATGATTTAGGTATATGTTGGCTGGGTCTTATGTAATGGTATTTGGCTACAAGCCAATGGTTATCTTTTGTGTACATTTAACATCAAGCAAACTATGAACTTGATGACTAGGGTTTATGTTGGCTGGGTCTGATGTAATGGTATTAGGCTACAAGCCAAGAATTGCCTGCAAGTGATGTACAACTATGTATCAACATGAATGTGGCATTTCAGCAGTTTCAAGTTTCCATCTTACATTGAAAGTGCAATAAAGCATTAATTGTGGGTTTTGGTGATAATGACCTCGCATTTAGAGAACTAATGAGATTTATTGAGATGACAAGCAAGGAATTTATATTTGAGGATGCTACACGAAATGGAGGAGCCCCCAACTACAAATATAGATGGCTTCAAACTCAAAGGAGGTTTAAATTCTTTTATATATTAAATTTA